AAACACATCATAGTAAAACCAATACCTTCTCAGCTTCGCATCGAAGCTAAAAAAACACATCATAGTAAAATTAATACCTTCTCAGCTTCGCATCGAAGCTAAAAACACATCATAGTAAAACCAATACCTTCTCAGCTTCGCATCGAAGGTAAAAATAGAGCGGATGTCGTAATATGCCCAATGCTTTGCATTACGCATCTTATATTTATCAATGAAAAATTTAGAATCTTTTTTTTATATTACTTGTAAACAAACAAATAACAAATAACTTATCTGGCATAATATGTACAATGTTCAACACAATTTCTTATTATTTATATATATGTCAATTTATCAATTGTAAAATATGATATCTCAATATAATAACCATTTAATGTATAATTAAATACAATAAGCTAAAAAGATCACTAAAAACGCTGACAACAATATCCCTGGATTGGGGGTACTATCATTCACTATAAAAAGCATTGAAATCCTCTAAGAAGAGAGTTTGCTTTCGTCGGATTCAAATAAGAAAACAATTATTAGCCACAACCCGTGTTATTGTCGGTTATCGTTTTATGCGTCTTGATTATATTCATTCGAAAAGAATTTGTTTTCATTTTTATCTTGTGACGGAGTACAAATCCAATACCTCTAGGTATATATATATATATATATATAAGTAGGGTAAAATAGAGAGNATTATTAACACTTTTATTTATAAATTATATTCATAAGCTTAGAATAACATGTTTGTTTTTTCTTTGAGAAAATTCATAAATTATATTTGTCAGCTCTTTTTATAATAATATTATATGAAGTGTCGAAATGATTTGTGTATTATTCGCATGTATTTATGTATTTAATGTATTAATTCATATATTTTATGCTGATTTGTATATTAATTTATATATTTTATGATGACTTGTCAATAAAATAGCAACATTGCGAGAATGACACAATGATGATTGTGCGGGGATAAAAAAAAATACTATAAAAGGGCTGAGTGCTGAAAGCTTGAAAGAGTCCGTCTCTAAATTTTCATTGAGCTGTTCGAACCTCGCTCTCGACATCGATACGCAAAGTTCGTAATCATCATTGTGAAATTCTTACTTGTTAATTTATGAACTAAACATTTGAGTTCGTGTTATTTTATTATAACCTGATATTGTCAAAAGTTATTATTAAAACAAGGAAAATCTTCAGGAAGACCACAAATTATTAAGAGTCAATACTTATATTATCTTATAATTCAATTATTTAGAATTAATAATCTGAGTATAGAACGATAAAGCAATAGATCAAATAATTATATTAATCTTTAAACTTCAATTAATTATTATTACCTAGTTCGGACCTTATACGAAATCACATTACATGGTATTCGTGAGATGGCCACCGCCTCTTCGTTGCCTCGGTGTATTATTACAGGTACTTACTAGTTGAATCATTTACGATATCTCTATGAGAAGAACCTTAATTATTAATTTTTATATCTACTTGTCTTTATTGTTCTGAACCCTCGGACTCTACAACCCCGATAAAACCTCGTTGCTCACCAATTGACCAAATCCCCAAAATTTCCAATCTTGGTCAAAAACACCCTAACATTCTTCTTTTTTTAGTTATTTTTGTATTATTACAAATGATAGAATTTAGGATACCTGCCAAATGTTTTAATAAGTGATTGTTTTGCANCAAATGATAGAATTTAGGATACCTGCCAAATGTTTTAATAAGTGATCGTTGTGTGCACAACAATTTGAAAATGAAATTCTACGTAAATTTGAAATTATTGAAAGTAAATATTTATACTTATAAATGAACGATTTAATTTTTACAAAAATAAAACAAACAATCAATAATTAGTACTAATCCACAACGAATTAGATCTATTTTGTCGTAGTTTAAACAAATTGTTATCATAATATTTGTTTTAAAACCATTAATATAAACTGTTTGTACCACTATTGTCAATTTTATCGAAATTCTAACACTACTAAAATCTTGAATAATGCGTTGGACCTAAATACTAAAAAACATGAAAGTAGATTAAAGCGGGTTGTTCAAAATTATTTTTTACACTAGTGTACTTAATGTATGACTGTTACTACCTATTTACTATTAAATCAATGTAGTAGTGTTAAGTAATAATTTATTTTGCAGGATATATATTTATGCGAAGTGTGAAAACTAGCGCTTCTGTAATAAACCAAAAATAAAAGATAGAAAAGAAACTGAGTTCAGAGAGTGAATTATTAAAGTTGAGATTGGATAGGTTAAATAGAAATAGAAATTGGTGTACTTAGTAAATTATTATAATTATTATTTATTAGTTTTATAAGTTTTTTTGTAGATTTAATTGCCTTCAATTTTATCTAAATTAATTTTCTCATTAATTATTAATGGTTAATCACGCAATAGATTGTTGGAAGTTCTAAAGCATAGGTTAAATTGTACTTACCTTACGTTCTATGTAATACAATAATATTTCAAGTAATCCAGTGTTGATTTCCGTATTAAACGCACTACGTATACGATTTACACTATACGTCATATAGTCTATATAATTACTTACAAAAAAAAAAACGATTCAAGATTTTTAAATATTATGATTTAATTACACAAAGTCTAAGACTGATCTTACTTGTAAAACACTATAAACACTCTGTATTTTATTATAAATACAATTTTGATTTTTTTTTACTTATTGATTTTTTTACGTCTATTGAATAAGTATTTTTTTTTTTAAAGAGTATATTTTTTATTGAGAGATCGATACCAATATTTCTTAAATTTTTCTCTGGCCTGACCAAAACAAGATTCAGAAATATCTATATCTATGTAAAAAATTTATCAAGGCGGAATTGTGGTGGCCCAATGTGTCCCGGTGTTAAAATAATGCACCTTGAAAGGATGCGGCACAATAATCACCAAGACAAAAATTAAACACTAAAAATATATTTGTAAGTTTCTTTACGCTGTCTGCCAGCGCGATGTTTATTAAAACAAAGACATTAGTAACGAAACTAGCTACCCAATACGCATAGGCTTACAAATATATTCTAACCTAATATACCTAATTCTAGAATAATATTTACTTGCAACCTTTACTCTGTCTGCCGGCGCGATGTTTGTTAAAACAAAGACATTAGTAACGAGACTAGCTACTCAATAAGTATAGGATTGGAATACACTCAGTCAAATAAAATTACCATCAAATAAATTTAAATCTCAATTTAAGTTGAGAAGATTGTGACCTTTAGCTCTGTCTGCCGGCGCGTTGTTTGTTAAAACAAAGACATTAGTAACGAGACTAGCTACCCAATAAGAAAAGCTCACAATAAATTTTTATAATTAAATAAAAATTCAAAGTTAGGTTGGGTTTATTATTAAAATAAAATAATTTTAAAAAGATGTAATGTTTAAAATATTATTTGATATTTATTTCCACAACAAGAAAAATAAAATATTATTAATGATTGAACAAATTAAATTAAATTAAAAGATTCACCAAAACAAAATTCACTCTAAAATTTCTAAGTGTCATTTAGTTTTAAATAAAAATATTCTAAGTCCAAATTAATTAAAAAATCGACTAAGTCCTGGAGAGTGAAATCTTGAGTAGTGTCGTAGATTTTGTGTATTTTAAAATCGTCAAAAGAACTGGTTTAGATGGGAAAAAATGGCTTTTTATAGTCTGTAGGGGGTAGCCCAGCGATCTCTACCGTGATCCTGGAAGCTGAGGCTTTGTATTTTAATTGGTTAATTAAATGGGGTCCCTGCGTGTAGGCGTTACTTAATAATTTCTACAAGAGGGAGATTTTATCGTATAGTTAAAGGGTTATTTTGTACTTTAAATAAGAGAACCCTGTTTTGGTGATCTTATATAATCATGATATGTGACATACATGTACAAATGATAACATCATATTATATGTTAATATTATATGTAATAATATAATATTACACTCCTAGGGTAAAATTATACACAAAATTTTATAAAAACATGCGATTGCTAAAGACAAGCGGCTCAATTAAAAAAAATAATAGAAATATTAATTTGAAAAATTCTCCAATAGATAACTATATTATAGGTAAAATATTTGTTGTCAAATTTAACCGTTGGGGCAACTACAGTAAAATTATTTTTATTTCATCTTAAAAAAATATTTTTATATAGTCATTTAAACAATTTTAGTAGTAAATGATCCTATATCCTACACTTAGTTGTATCAGTGAACATAATTGAAATATTTTTTCAATTAATAATCATTAGTTTATATAGAATCAGAAGGAAAAGACATCAAGGATATTACAGGCATTATAAAATTCTATCATTTAAATATTCCTTTTACGCAGTTACAAGAGAATTGGGGTGCTAATATTAGTTTCAGACTTAAAAGTAATAAAGAGTCTAGGCAAACAAGAAATATAATAATTAATAAATGAGCTTGTTACTTTGTTGTTATAAAGAAAAAAGTAACTTTGAAATTCAGCTTTTTTTTTTTGTGTTATGTATTTTATTATTTTTATTGATGTACAAATATAACATACAAACTTTCTTGTGTATACTAATAAAATGTAAATATGGTAATAATTAATTGTATGTTCTTATAAAATATTAAAATAATATAAAAGTATATTATTAATTACATATAAATTAAATTAAAAAAGTTATTTTATATAGTAACAGAACATAACAAAAATTTATTCAATGAAAATTAAAAGAACTTATAATATGGTATCATATCATCAGTATATTCAATTTGTAAGTTTGAATCATTTTTTGCTTCACACGTGACATCTAATTTTTAACAAAAATTAATTATTAAAAAAATATTTGTGAAATGATGTTTTAAATTGATCGAATGAAATAACAGCACAATATATTATAACCATGGTGGCATATAAAAAAAAATGATTTTGTACAATAAAAGAATATTTAATAGATTATGTATTATATAAGAATGATTTAAAAGTACTTTAGTACTCTAGAATATTTTATGGAAATTTCCTTCTTTTTTTTAATTCCATGCTGTTTATCAGGATGGTATTAACATAAAGGCTTTACACAAAGCCCGAAGATAACCAACTACACAAAGGCATAACGATTGCATTGGTTCGGACACGCTATGTGAAGGGACGAATAAAAGGCTACTTTTATATTTTTTTAAAAGAATACTTTTTCTCATGCTACTGTCTCTGATTATTCCCTATATAGTCTAGTGTATTCTTTGATCGTGTCTCTGTAGTCTTTAACTTAATTCATTTCACATAGTTTAAAACTTACATTAATCGACACATAGCTTAGACATAAATACGCTTCTATAATTCACAAATAATTCTCTTCTTATTAATATACCTCGTATAATTTAAACAAACGCTTCAAACAATTTCACACTATTTACCATCTTTCTTTTGGTTATTACATGCATTATAAAATAATTACCTTCTTTTTTTATCCCATCCTGTTTATCTACTTCATTGGTAGGTTGCACCAAATTTATAAAAGAGTATTGTGCGATGTCTAAAAATATTGAAATGATTTTTAGCTAAATCATAAATTAAAATTTTATTTACAATAGTGTAAAACCAAACTTTACATTCATATAGAATCGTTTTCATCACATTTTCTTCGTTGGTATGATGTATTAAATCTAACGAAGGATTTTGCGCAATATCTAAAAATATTAAAATGTTAGTTAACTCAATTTAAAATTAATTTATATTAAAAACTAGATTTACCATGTTGTTGAATATCTTCTAGGACATCTAATTCATTGGTATGTTCTGTCAAATGTATTGGATTTTGAGTAGTATCTAAATATGTTGACATAAAAATAATTTCAATTTAATTAAATATTGTTTAAATAATTATACCTTGATTGTTATTGGTAGGTGGAGTAGGTAAAAATGTCTGACTTGAATTCAAATCAAATTTAAATCCAAGTTCAATGTACTTTTTCCAGATTGTCGTTAGGATTAAATATTTGATTTTATCATTAAGAAAAATGTAGAATTCTTGATATATTCTTTGAGATTTTAATGTGTTAAATTCCATATTCCATATATTCCACAATAAATCCAAATCAAAGGGTTTTAGTTCACAAAATGATAAATCTTCTTTAAGTTCACGTTTCCTTTGACGTAGAATATCCGCGATACTCAATAATGTACTTTTGATGGAATCCATACTGATATAGAAATTAAACAATTTATTTAATTCTTCATTTTCTTGGAGATTTGTTAGAACTTTTTTTAAAATAAAACGGTTTTTTTTATGGTTGTTCATAGGTATATTATGGTATTTTTCTATAGCAAATAAAGCTCCTTTCATAAATTTTGCTACTGGAATAATTTCATTCATTTTTACTAATAGTGTGACCGTACAATCGTACGTCTTATACCAGTTACCAGTAAAGAATATCTGAAAACAATGTTTTTGAAAATTTAATAATACAAAGAACATTATATTTAAATCGTGAGCGTAAGAACATCCAAGAAATATCGTTGCTTGTCGTATGAAGTTATCGCATTCGATTGTTGTTACAGTTTGATTAATCAACTCGTTCAGTTTATAGTCTTTGCACCGATATTTAATACTTTCGACATCATTTATATTTTTCCATCCGGGTAAATGGAGAAAATTATTTATTATATCAGCGTTTTTTTTTTTATTGTGAGTTCCTTCAGTATGCAAAAATGAGAAAAATATACAAAAGTACACTTGAATATTAAAAGTTATTGCCATTTCCATTTTCACTTTTAAAAAGATTATTATACTAAGAAAAAAAATAGTCGCACAAAATTTGTTTCAATGTTATAGTTATACTAATAATTTATTTCATATCCTTACTAAATATAAACTAGAATAGAGACTACTTATACACAGGTGTATATTGTTAAATAATATAATTTATGTGTGAGCGGGATGAGGCATTGAGTATCTTACGTTTTAAACTGTGCGTATAAAATTTTTTATTTATATCCTTAAAATATAATAATGAACAAATTCCATATAAATTAATTATAGGAATAATAGATAAAAATTTTTAATACCACTTTAGAAAAAAACAGTTTAGCAATGTCTATATCTGTATATTAATTTTTTTTGTGAAACTGAAATAACGTTTTTGATATGTGTCTAAATTTATTACCAAACATTTGTTTAGTTAATGTATGAGTTTTAAATTTAATAAAAATTTTTATACATTGTTGGGCCCAATTTTATGTAATTACATTATGTATAATATATAATTATATGCATTGTATATAGTTCAGTAAGTAATGTAACTGGTTTTTATTGTTTTACTTTTTTGTAACAATTTAATATTTATTAAGTACTACAAATTATTTTTAAATTTAAAATTTAGTAATTTATCTCTCGAAAAATTACGATTTGTAAACTGGTATATTTCGATATTTTTCTTAAAACTGCAATAACTTTAATAAAAATGAACGAATTAAAATATTTTTTTTTAAATAAATAATTTAGAAACTCTCCTTTTATTGAAAATCTTAAATTAACATTTAAAAAAGCAATTTTCGCACAAAAATTTAACTGTTTCAAATTAACTTTAGAAAATGTTCCGGAAATAATACGTCTCGTTATCGTCAATATGATAAATTAAAGCTTATATTAGGTAATATAGGTAAAAAGTTTGACCCGACGACCTAATTTTTATTTGCAAATTGTTATGATACATACAAATTCATTATTCAGTATTCTATATTGTGTATTAATAATTAAATTAAATATTAAATATTCATATCAATCTTTTAAGTTATTCCGAGAAATATGTCTAATAATTCATTGATACAAATCTAATGAAATAACTATAAGGAATTCTTTAGTTGTGACAAATCATCTATTTCAAGTAAAATAACTAACACATCGAATAATAAACAGATAATAGTAAAAGGTCGTGACACTTCTTTTACATATAGACGAATTAAATTTAAAATAAAAGGGCACAAACATTGTTAATTCGACTCACTGCTCCTTGACGTCATGATCTTTCAACAAGTTGTAACGTGACAAAAAGTATCTGCTTATTTTTTTTCTGTCTATTTGTATATATAAGTATATGTGTGTGTTCTAATTAATCTTGGCTGAGCCGAATGCGTGTTGCGACGGCACTTATCATTTAAATAATCATGATAAGGTGTTGTGATTTGTTTGTGCGCGTGCGAGATAGTCAGCTGTGTACTACTTCGGACCGGTTCACGGACGGCATTTGTGTGTATACTCACCCCGTTCCTTTCCTATCTTGAACGTCATTTGCACTGCTCACCATATACATTGTCGCCTTACGATATTTTTTTATTCAAATTATTCTCAACTATTTCTGGCACTGAGTAATAAAATTTGTTGACCCCTACTCTAAAGGCTAGCCGTGGTGTCGCCATCGGACCGCCGGGTCAAACGCCAGACGTTTTGTCGGGGAACAGCCATAGGCGAAATTGTTCGTACTATTTCCCGTCCGTAGCGGTGTTTTTTTTTTGTCGTGTGTGCTGCAGCTATTTTGTGTTATATTTTTTTACGTGAGTGCAGGCACGTAGACATGGGTGGGCCTGGACCCCCTTAGATTTAATGTGGCCCAGGGCCGGCCCCCCAAATTTAAAATTCAATTATTTTTACGAATTATCAATAACGTACTAGGCCTTATATACATTGAAATTATTATTAATTTGTGATTACTATTGAGTAATACAGTTATTATTATGGCTGTATTTTCATTTTTATATTCATAGAAAACGTTATTTGAAAATGATAACGTTCTGGACGTAATAATAAATGGAATAGCAGTTACTCCAAACGTGGTTGTAGATAAATTTTTTTTAACTCTGATCCAACAAATGATAACAAACTATCAAGTATTATTGATACTTAATGAAATATGCATTGATTAGAATCTAGTTGATTACAAAATTTAATCTTTTTTTTTTTTATAATTTAGTAGTTATAATAGGTAATTTATTTGTTTTTGTTAATTTGTTATTTGCGTGCTCTAAATAATAGTAATGAAAATATGATTAAAAAAAGGCAGGAATTGTTTTTAATTTTAAATAAAATAAATTTTACATTGTTTATAATTTATATTTATTTTCAAAATTATTTATAACTTATTTGTTATTAGTATTTAGGTATAAATTATTTTTTCTTAATAGCTTAAAAGTTGAAAAATTAAATCAGCTTATGTTCACATCATTATTTTATTAGCTTCGATGCAAAGCTGAGAAGGTATTGGTTTTACTATGATGTGTTTTTTTTTGTCTGTTACCACTTTTTCTCAGCTCTCACCGAACCGATTTCTTTCAATGATACGTTAAAAGATCAAAAAATAACCGAATCAATATAATTTTTTTTTATATAGATGTGTGATGTCTTAACTTATCATTTGGTATATTTTTTTTCATATCTGACCCTTTACCTGCCCACAGGGGGGGATTTAAAATGACAACTTTTTCACAAAAAATTAATTTTTTCAAAACTTTTGAAAATGTTCCGGAAAGTCTGACACTTTTATATATATATTACATTAAAGCTAATGTAATGTACTTTATTATGGAAAAAAAAATTTCGGACTTGCGAATTGAGCTAAAAGTTTTGGTAATAAATTTATTATTATTTTTTTTATTATAAACTTTCACTTTAAAGGACAAAAAAAAGTAGGTTAAAAATTATTACTTTTAACATATTAAAAATCAATAATAACTTGAAAACAATTAATTATAAAAAATATATAATCTATAAGTAAAAAAGAATTACTAATCTGGATATAATTAAGGAAGTAGAAGTTGTTGTTGCTTTTATAATTATCCATCAATTTTTTAGAATTAAACACTATCTACAGATTTGCATCGAAGCGTTTCTTATGATAGTGATTTTAATCACTGTCAGATTAAATCTATATTGGACCCAACTATGCCTCGTCCCCACTGTGCCACGACCTCACTGTGCTGGGTTTTTGTTATATTTATCTGTTCATTACCATCAGTCATACTCAATGACTGTCTGAAAAAATCATCTATTGTTTTTTTTATTATAAACTTTCACGAAAATCAACCATAAAGGATTAACAAAATAGGTTAAATATGTCATTTTTCATATTTTTAACACATTAATAATTAAATTCAGTATTAATTTAAAACAATTTTTTTTTATGTCAATACTTATTTTTTAATAATAAGTAATTCTATCAAAACTTAGAAGTGATAGAAAAAGTCTAATTAGAGATTTAAAAAGAGCGCGAAAAGTTGAAAAAGAAAAGTACATTTTTGTTTATTATAATTTCTTTGCAGAATAATGGTAATTAGTATAAACCAATAGTACTTAGTATTAAGGGTGTAATAAATTAGTAGTGATATGTATTTATGTATATATGTTATCATGACGTGTGGGTGCTCCGTGTATTGATGTCCAATTTCTTGTACATGCTCTTACGCCGTCAATACATAATTCGCCATCAAATAGTACAACAGTTTTTACACGACCAAATCCGTAATCGATAAATTTATCACAAATGCCTTGATCATAATTTATGTTTACTAAATCTACCGTTCTCTTCTTAATCGCTGCATATTCGGCACCCATATCAACAAACGCTCGTACGTTGACACCATTTACCATAGCATTCTTACAGTACTTATTTTGCGTGCTGTTGCTTACTTGAAGCACTGGTTGTTGACTAGTAGTCGCTCCTTGACTTGTCGACGGAATACTTGAAAGTCTGACTCCTAGTTTGCCTAACGTATAATGTTGTGCTGCTACATCGTCCCAATCGCACAGTAACGCACACTCCTCCACTCTATAAATCCATTAATCTATTATTGTTCCACAAACAGGATCCTTTGTCGTTATTGTTGTTGACATATCAGTCCAAAACAATCGGTGTTGATTGTCCATACTAGTATTCTCTCCATTATTACCAACCATATTGTTCAATCACCAACTTTACTAGGATCCCAGCACACAATGAACTTCAAGCAACACTGCACTTGACCACTCCTACTGAGCCACACGATGTTTTATTTGTCAACACTAACCGGACAGTCCAAATAAAAATAGTTTGACAACGCCCCAATGGACACAAGTAATTAAACACAAGTTTCAGACTTCGACCCCAAAACGGTAAAATCTCAAACATGCCAACACGACCGATATCTTTATGTTCGCAGTACTCGATTTAAACTTCAATTCGCACTTAAATACATAAAAAAAAATAAACTCTTTTACAACACACACGAAACCTCGCACCTGAACTGTAGTAAACATTCTATTACACTTAATATTTAGATATATATGAAGTATAGTGTTGTAGGTTGTACCGAAAAAACAGTCTATATATAAAAAAAACCGTGAATTTGCGTGTGCATTCTGGAAAAGAGAGGAAAATAATTATTAAAACAATTTAGAACACGACGTAGAAATATCTTTAATGTTTTATTATGTAAAGCACCAATAGGTCGTTTCTTACACGACAGTCGGCAAACTACTACTAACTCTAATAGACAAGTACAGATAAATAACAGTCCTTTTAACAATCACAGATAAGACCAAAACAACAATGATACACGAATAATAAAATTATTATATGATAATTTTGTGGCTCGCTTTAAGTCTTCTTTAGTTATTTCGAATGCACTCATTGATTGATTGGTCTATACGTTTGGTGTTTTGTCATTTCTTTTGCTGTTTTTAAGATAATCGTGGAGGATACCTTTTGTACTTGGATACAACAATGGTAAAAATTGCACATAGTCAAAAAACGTCGAAGCTTTTGTATATTATTCGGCCACGGATATTTGTTTATAGCTTTCAGTTTTTCAGGATTTGGTTCAAGATCATTACCCGAAATTATGTATCCTAAAAATAGTACCTCTTCTTTTCGAAATATAGATTTATATTGGTCACAATACCCAACTCACTGAGTCATTG